TTGAGTAACAGGGATTTCTGGTCTTTTGCTTCTTGGTCTGGGGATATAGATACTTTGAAATCCATCCAGCTTGGGTTTAAGTCCTGACTCTTGTCACTTTTGACCTGTGCAGTATTTCTGAGCTTAATTTTTCTCATCTACAAAATGGGGATAAAATGGGAATACCAATATTGGCTTTATTAGGGTTGTTACAGAATTAAATGAACTACTATATACAAAGTACTTAGCCCACTGCCTGGGACATGGTAGGTGCTTAGTAAATACTGGTTATTACTTCTACTCCCAGGATTAGTATATTCTATTTTTTAAAAATTAAGTAGCTTTAAGCTTTATTGTAATGAAGTCTTATTCCCTTGCAAAAAATAGATGGAAATGTTATTGGGCCTTTGCCACCAGAACCAGAGGCCATGCCAACTCCGCCTATTGCTGCCCAGCGTAGCAAAGTAGAAGTCATCGTTCAGGAGAGGAAGGATACCAGGCCCGGAGTGCCACACGTCCGGGAGTGGGACAGAGGAAAAGGTAAGAGGGGCGGAGGGGAGGGCGGGGTGGCTCCAAGGTGTAAAAACCTCTCTAGGAATGGGCCCTGCACAGGAAATTTTTCTGGTTCTCCTGATCCAAATGTGATTCTAATGAGTCTTAGTGGTCCTTTGAGTCTTAAAGAATTCTTCAGGTCCTTGAACTTTTTCCTTCTTGATACCCAGGCAGAGCTGTTTATAAACAGGAGCACTTGAAAGAATGATTATAAAAGACCAGGATTTATAAGGCATCATGTTGAAGGATGAGGGTTTTGTGTTTTTGAAGTGCTTGGGAGAAGTTTTCTGAAATTGGTGCTGCCTCATTGCAGCTTTGAAATGTCATTTCTTAGGAACTGCTTTCAAAATTTATGAAGGTTTGATATTTTAATGTATTGTGTTTTTAGCACATTTCAGTTGGAAATAGAGATAAAAGACCAACTTAGATTTGGACAGGTTCCTTCATGTCTAAAACTCAGAGGACAACACTGTGTTTGTTGTGAAGTACCTGCAACATAATGTCAAGCAAATGATTGAGTCTTTAATTTTTCTGTATTTCTCTCTTAAATTTAATTGTAGTGCCTTTTTGGCAGTGTTTCCAGAGCCTGCAGACTTCTCCACACAGCCTTTCTTGAACCTTTGGCCTTCAGGAAGTAGTCACTCCCTTAGCTTAGTTCCTTATACTTCAGTAGGCATTGCATGTGCCTCATACTACCTTTTTGTATCGCTATCCTTGCTTTCCAGAGAATTTGAGGAGGCTTTTAAAGAATACATATAATAATTGAAAAGCAATGACAATAAATTCATCTCATTCCATAATAAGTTCTAATACAATTCTTTCTTATTTTTACTAGAATTTTCCTTTGGGTACTGGTCGAAGAGGCAGTCAGATCTCCGGGCTGAAAGAGATCCTGAGTTTGCCCCACCGTCGGATTACTTTGTGGGTCAAAAGAGAACTGGTTCTTTCAGTAGCCAGACATGGAGCAGACCTGCACCTGCACAAAGTGATGCTGGCCAAAGCCATGACCCCAGCTGTTCACATACGTCACCCACTCCTGCTCCCAGCAGCCCACCACAAGCCCCCACGGTCACTTTTGAAACTCTGGATGATATGATATCATATTATAAACAAGTGACATGAACTTAAAAAGCATTCTGACTTGGGTCCATGCTGTTGGTGGTATCTTTTCCTCCCAGAGCAGAGAAAATGACTTGATTTTAGGGACCAAAATATAACTTTCTTTTCCTGCCCTTTCCCTAGAAGATAGAGGTTGGATTTGTCAGCAAGGAAGAAGGTGAATGGTACCTTGGGATATCTGTGGCCACGTGGCCATTCATTTCTTTCTAATTTGTATGGCAAGATATTCATGTGGCTTTAAGTGTAAGCTGTGATGGAATAGAAATATTCTGTAATATTTGACACCAAGGAGTTTGTAATCCTGTCTTTCATACCTGCTCCCATAACTTACTCAGATTTAAGGGCTCCATTCCTTCTGCAAATGTTAGCATGTAGATGTCTTTTTTCCAAGTATTCAGCTTCCAGATCAGTTGATGGAGCATCTATCAGGAGGAACTATCGCCTGTCAAAGAGTGGCAAATGAGGAGTGGGCGACGAAGTGATCTAGTTTCCAAGAGGACATCTCAGTGTCATCTTTTCAGCAGCAGACAGGCCCACAAGGCTCCTACAGCCACCTCCCAAGCCAGTGAGTCCTGTAAGAATGTGCTACAACAGGTCCCCCAAGCACTCACAGGAGCCCACCCTCCTCTGGGCTCTGTGGTGCACATGTTTTTTGTTCCCACAGCACAGTGGTGTTGACATAAGTGCCCTTGTTCTCATTACAGATTGCAAATTGGAGCATAAAGAGAGTCAATGACTTGTACAGGGTCATATGGCATCTAAATGGCAGATCTAGGACTTGAACACAGTTTAGGCTCAGATTTGCTGCAGACTCATGATTTCTCCAACACCTTCTACTCTGAGTCTTGTTGCTCCAATATCAAGCAATATTAGACAAAATTCCCAAATTCCTGAGAACATCTAGAGTCCATATTGGACAAAATTGCAGACCTATTAATGGTCATTCTGTCAGCCTAATCAGGGAAATACCTCTTATCAAATATTAGAGGCCTGGTGCATGAAATTCATGCCCTGGGGAGGGGGGGTTCCCTCAGCCCGGCCTGCACCCTCTCGCAGTCTGGGACCCCCTCAGGGGATGTCCACCTGCTGGCTTAGGCCCGATCCCCCTGGGGTTCAGGCCTAAGCCAGCAGTCAGACATCCCTCTCGCAGTCCGGGACCGCTCCTTACCCGCCTACAGCGGATCTCCCACCACCACTGCTGCACTCGCCAGCCGTGAGCCCGGCTGCCACCTGGTGGTCAGTGTGCATCATAGCGACCAGTTATTCTGGTCATTCCACTGTAAGGGTCACTTAGGCTTTTATTATATAGACTAGAGGCCTGTTGCACGAAAAGATTTGTGCAATAGGCCTTCCCTTCCCCTGGCTGCCGGCACCGGTTTTCCTCCAGCATCCGGGACCCAGGCCTTCACTCTGGCCGGAGCCGCCTTCAAACCTTCCCTGCTCTGGCCGGAGCCGCCTTTAGTCTTCACTCTGCCACTTTGTGCCTACATATGCAAATTAACCGCCATCTTGTTGGTGGTTAATTTGCATATCTTACTGATTAGCCAATGGAGGCATAGTGAAGGTATGGTCAATTACCATGTTTTTCTATTATTAGATAGGATACATTAAAACCAACTAACCTAGCTGCCTTTTTTATAGAAATTGGACAAACTGATCCTAAAATTTATATGGAATTGCAAGTAACCCAGGCTATCCAAAACAATCTTGAAAAAGAACAAAATTGGAGGATTCACACTTTCTAATTTTAAGACTTGCTACAAAGCTACAGAAATCAAAACAATGGTACTGACATAAGGATAAACATAGATCAATGGAATAGAATTGAGAGTTCAGAAATAAATCCATATACTTATGGTCAACTGGTTTTTGACGCTGTTGCCAAAACTATCTAATGGGAAAAGAATAGATTTTTCAACAGGATTCTGGGACAACTAACTACCCACATGCAAAATAATGAATTTGGATCCGTATCTCATGCCATATAAAGGATGTCCCAAAATTCATGCAAGAAGTAATTTTGATAGAAAACACAGGTTTATAATTAAAAATTGTAAATTTTTTATTGATTCATAAAGTATACAGTATAGGGTTATGTATGGAATAGCGTATCGGGTAAATGGCCTCCACGGCTCTGCTGGCACATACGCACTCTTTTGTTGAAATTTTCCATGACCGTTTTGCATAAATGTGACTGAATTTCGTTGATACAGCGCTCAATTTCCTCCTTCAAGGCGTGGGTGGTCATGGGCTTGTTGGCATAAGCCTTAGAATCCTAAATTAGTCTCCCTAAATTTTTTAATTAATCTCTTCACATTTGATGAAGTTAAATCACTATTTCGACCATATTTTGCACGAAAATTGCGAACTGTAGCTGCCAAACCTTCATTATTTTTAAAATATTCCTCAACAATGAAAATGCGTGTTCTTTCGTGTAGCTCTCCATTTTTAATAACCCTGAACTGTCAGCTGTCATGCTATCTTTTTTTTTCGTTGGCAACACTTTACGGCACAAATGGCGTAAAATTCAAATCTTGCGTGAATTTTGGGACACCCTTGACAAGACCAACTCAAAGTGGATCAAAGACCTAAATGTGAGAGCTAAAACTACAGAACCATTGGAACAGTTTATAGAACAAAAGAAGAGACAAAAAGAAAAACTGGAATATTTTTTTAAAAAGAATTATTAGCTCTCCTAGACTCATAAGAAAAACAAAAAAGGGAGGAAAGAAAACAGACAGATAGGAGAAAAAATTTATATAAAGTAGAGCAGAAAGACTCAAGGCAAATTGTGGAGAAGGGATGGGAAGGCTAGTTAGGCAGCAATAAGCCCAAGAGTATGGGTGCCAGTAGTCATGGCAGAGGCCACCAAGTAACCTTTTTTTAAACTTTTATTGATTTCAGAGAGGGAGAGAGAGAAACATCAGTGATGAGAGAATCATGGAGCAGCTGCCTCCTGCAGGCCCCACCCTGGGGATTGAGCCCGCAACCCAGGCATGTGCCCTGACCAGTAATTGAACCGTGACCTCTTGGTTCATAGGTCGACACTCAACCACTCAAATAACCTTTTGTTTCTCAGAGCACCTTGGGTGGACATAGCAAAGCGTCCGTGTACTGGCTCATGATCACTGTCAACTAATAACTAAGTGAGATTTTCTCTAGGATTTCAAAAACTTTTAACCTATTTTCAATGCCTTTTAAAAAAAATTTTCCCCCCATTACCATTTATCCCCTCTATGCCCTCTTTAACAGCAGATCATTTCGTGTTTTATGAACCCAGCTGTTACATTGTCTTCCATTGCAGACCCAGAGTTCTTAAAGTGTTAACATAATTTGTTTTACAGTTTCTCATGGGCCTGTTTTATATGAGTGCATCCAGCAGATGGCATTAGAATTCTTAGACTTCAGATCCACTGTTTGCCCAATAGAAATACCATGTAAGTCTTCTGTGTCATTTCCAATTTTCTAGGAACCACATTAAAAAAGTGAAATTAATATTGTTATATACTTTTATTTCAGCATTTAATCAATGTACACAAATATTAATGAGATATTCTACATTTCTTTTCACACCAAGTGTTCAGAATCCACTGTATATCTACTTGGAAAAATTTTCATCAGGAATACTTGACCTATATTTAGATTTCATAAAATATACCACTGAAAGCGTAGATTCACATACCCTAAATTGTTCCAAACATGCTTAACCATGTTTAAAGTTTTCCAATAACAGTCAAGTGTGAAGTTTTAAATTTAATAAAGTGAAAATTTAGTTTCTTACTCATTCTAACCCAGTGGTCGGCAAACTGCAGCTCACAAGCTACATGTGGCTCTTTGGCCCCTTGAGTGTGGCTCTTCCACAAAATACTGACTTCTGTGCATGGGCCACGAAGTTTCAATCGCACTGTATGTGCGCGCCCGCACGTGATATTTCGTGGAAGAGCCACACTCAAGGGGCCAAAGAGCCGCATGTGGCTTGTGAGCCGCAGTTTGCCGACCACTGTAATCTAACCACATTTCAGGTGCTCAAAAAGACATGTGGTATAGTGCTACTATACTGCACATAATAATTCTAAATGATCTGTGTTGGTTTTTTTTACATGCTCTAGAGTCTGACTACACATGATCCTCCCATTAGTAACTAAAGGATTGACAAATAATTTCTTCCAGATGTACATGAAGCATTTAATATATTTTTATGGCTGTGTTTATCTTGGGAGAAAACAGTGGTAAAATCTCTTCTCAGAAAACGACTACACCTTGTTTGTGTCTTTGTAGAGCTAAGTGAAATGTTTTAGATCAGAAAGTGCTTTGAATTATTTGTTTTCACTTTAATCTTTTCTTCAGGCCTTTGTGTGTTTTGATACAGTTCATTTGAATTGGCTAAATAAATCATTTTGTTTGCTTGCAAAATTCCCAAAGGAGAAACTTTAAATCCATATACATGAGATTCCTGCTATGTGTAGCCATACATTTGCCCAAACCTTGTGTATAATTTATTTCTTAAAGCCATAGTGCAGCCCATGGGGTGGTTTTCAGCTAACCTTGTGACATACATATGAGGCAATAGAAGTTAGAATTTGGAACAGGGTAAGTACTGGTTTTTGCAGTTAATACAACATAGAGTAGCCACTCCACATATGTTTAGTGTTGTTGTTTTTCAGTCAGTAAATTGAACTAAGTTAGTTATACATCAAGCAGTTCCTATAAAAAAAAACAAAAACTTAATGGCTAAGGTAAGGGATGATCATTGAAAAGAATTTATTGACCTGCTGAAAACTGTGAGCAAAAATGAAACAACTCTGGCCTTCTCACCTACCCTCGCCAGCTGTCTTGGTGAGGCATTTTGTCAGTATAGGTGTGTACATTTAGCTTAATGTTTGATGTATGTGTGTGAGGAGTAGGGTGGGGGATGGGGAAGGGAGAGAATGATGTGATTGGTGTAGATCTAGAAAAACTGAAAAATCAAAGTAATCAAATGAAGTAAGGTGTTTTTTAGTGAAAATCTGTCACCCAGGTCTGGTGTTGATCTTTTGTTTCTGTATTTCTTAATCAGTCGTGGACTGCATTTATATATTCACTAGAGGCCCGGAACACGAATTTGTGCATGGGTGGGTCCCTTGGGGTGGCCTACAGAGATCAGGCCCCAGCTTATACCCCCAGCCCTGAAGCCCCGCAGCCCTGCCTGGCACCCCGCCTGGGCCTGGCACTGGCACCAGCCCCTCACCTGCTCCACTATCCCACCTGTAGGGTGATTGGTCGGGGCTGGGCCCCCTGCCTGGCTCCCTCAGCACCTGGGAGCCGGGCCACAGCTGGTTACTGTCTGCAGGGCGGTTGGTGGGGCGATGGGGCCCCCTTCGCACCCGCCTTAGCCTGTCACCGACCGCTCACCTGCTCCACCATACTGCCACAGTCCCGCTCTCATTGGGGCTGGCAGTGTCTCCACTGCCACGTTTAATACGTGGCTTCATAGTAACCTCGTGGATTGAAATGGCTGCTGGAGCTACAGTCATTTCATCCATTCCAGAAGAATGAGAATAGCAATAGGTAAAGAAAACACAAAAATCTGTACATGAATGTTCATAGAAGCACTAATCATAGTAGCTAAAAAGTGGAAACCAAAATATTCATCAAATAATGCTAGATGAACAGATTGTGGTTTAACCATGTAATTGGATATTATTCTACTAAGAATGAAGTACTGATACCTACTATAACATAAACCTCAAAAACATTCTAAGTGAAAGAAGCCAGTCACAACAGGCCACTTATATGATTTCATCTATATGAAATGTCCAGAACAGGCAATTCTATAGAAACAGAAACTAGATTAGTGGTTGCCTGGGGATAAAGGGAATAGAGAGTAACTGATAATGGGTTTCTTTATGGGGTGATGAAAATGTTCTAAAATTAGGTAGTGGTGTTGGTTGCACAACTTTGAATATACTAAAAACCATTGTATACTTTTAAAAGACTGAATTGTATGGTATGTGAATTATATCACAATAAAGCTATTGTAAAAATCAGCTTTTATCTGTAAGACATATCTTCAAAATTAACTTCAAAGGAAAGGAACTGGAAGGGGGTAGGAAAAAGTTCCTCAAACTATTTAACATTTCAAGGATTTTATTTGTCTTCATCTGAGTCCTGGTTTTAAAGAGAAAAAAAAAAAAAAGTCAGCCCTGCACGGTCAGGGTCAGATCCTCTGGCTGGCTGCCCTGATGACAGAGATTCTGAGTGGTTTCTTTGTTCTGTAGACTTACCATTTAAAAAAAAAACGAACCTATTTTTCCAAGTCTTCAGAGCTGAGGAATAGATGCCAGGGGGTCAGCAAATAGACATAGGAAGCCACTTTATCTGCAAGTCAGCCAGATGTCAGAAGGGTTTGCTCTATGGGATTCTTGTTCTTTGGAGACTTGTTGCTGATAGATGGGTAGAGGCAACTCAAAGGGCGTGAGGAAGTAGTGTTGCATGTAGAACCTATGTCCATAGGCAACTCCTAAGAGCTCTGATTCTTCATCAGTAAAACCAGAGAGATAATAGCCTTCTCACCCCAGGGTGGTTGCACCAGATTATGGTGTGAACCTGCTCTATAAACGCTGATGGTATGCACCAGGGGTGTGGTCCTGGAATGGTGAACTTAGGGTGGTTCGAGAGGACATGGTTTGAAAAGCGAAAGATTGAAGATTGGTGGGAGAAGACGGCCATGGACATGGTGGGGGGTAATTGTCAGGCTGAGGTGGTAGAATTGATGGTTGGAGGGCTGTGGTAACAAGAATTGTTCGAAGGCACCAGCCAGAGACCCTTCTGCTCTAAGGCCACCATTACTAGCAAGTATGCTCATGGGTCATTTAAGTCAGACAAGAGAGGCGACTACTGACATTGTATGGAAATGCTGGCAAAGGTGATCAGAAGGGGGTGGGGGGGAGGCTTCTGCTCTCAGCTTCCCTTTGACCAACCTTTTTTGTGTGTGCTGATTTTTTTTTGATTTTTTAAAAAAAATCTTTATTGTTGAAAGTGTTACATATACCCTCTTTTCCCCCCATTGGCCCCCTCCAGCTGATTCTTTTTTTTTTTTAATTTATTTTTATTGTTGAGAGTATTGTGTTCTGATTCTTGAGCATTTTTTTATAGAACATATTTTCACAAAGCCCCTCAGAAATTAAATCATTTTTGTGTGATGTAAAATCAAGAAGTGACTTTATATTTTTATTAATGTATTTTAGATTGACATATGGACAATGGTATGTCCTTATGGTATTTATTTTGATCAGATGAATGAAACTTTCAGATCTGATTACAAAACCCTAGAGGTTTATTTGTAGATTTTTTTCTAGCCATTTTGTGTTCATCAAATTGTTCTTCAAACTCCCTCTCTCCAACCAGTGGTCTATTTTTTATATAAAGTAAAACAATAAAAATAAAACACAATTTAGAAGGATGAAAACCACCTAGTAGCATCTAATGATGTTCAACTGACCCAGACATGAGTATGCTTGTCTGCTATCCTCACAGCCACATATGTCCATTTGATGAGCACTAGGTGCCCTCAGGAAGTTTTATTAAAGTGGGAAAATGCTTATTATAGTTTGCTGATTTTAAGGTACACATTTTCCCCTTTTTACACCTGTGAAATTGTGATAAGTCTTACAGTCAATGGTATCTTACATTGATATTTTTCTTATAAGATGGTGCATTAGTTACATCAAATCTTAGGTTTTATGAAATGTGGCAAATAATATTAGTATTGAATTAAGAAAACTCATTCTCCTCATTCTTTCCTGTCTGCCTTTGGATGTACATGTTGAATAATTTTATACCCATCCTTTCATTGCAACCAGGAGCTTACCCAACCAGGAAGCTTATCCCTTTCATCCAGAGAAAGCCGATGAAATATCTTTTTGTTTTTGCAGGTTTTTATTGATAGACCACGAGCAGATCTTCCAGCTTCAGATCTATAATTACAAACGGTATGATGGAACCTTTCTCTCTTCCCCATCCTTTCCATTCCTCCAGTCCCGGGGGCTCCTCCATAGGAACTTAGTTTGTGTGACTGTCCCTGCAACTATTTCTAGAACCTACTCATCCCCAGGCCCTCCCTCCCCAAAGTGACTCACTAATGTGGGTCTATCTGAGGTTTCTCTGGGAAGAAAAGGGAGGAGGGGCATCCCCTTGCCCTACTGCGGAGGAGGGTGTGACCAATTATTTTCCTTCCTGGATAGGACCCAGGTTCAATGACCCGTAAAGGCCATTTCAGCACCTCCATTCTGTCTGTCTCCAAGCCTTCACCTTAGGTAAGAACTTTGGCTTTCAAAAAAAAAGAACGTTTGCTTTCATTCACCTCTCAGGGTGCTCTGACTCTTTACAGCTGAAGGCCCCTCTTGTCCGAGATAGACAGTATTACTTAGCAGTATGCATGCTCTAACAACATGAGCGACATCAAGAGTAACCGAGAACTGTACCTGCAGTACAAATCCAAGGCCCCTAAGCTGCTGGCCAACATTTCCAAATTACTCCTCATGTGCCGGAACACAGGCATTGCTATACCTAAGGGCATCAGAAACATCTTTGAGTTCACTTGGGAGGAGCTCATCACTGACCCTATGGTGCCTACTCCGTCTGACATCCGGGGCCTGGAGATCAGCTTTGGGACTCCACCTGTGGTGTCTATGGAATCAACCCCTGTGCAGATCCACGTCCCGAAGAAGCCACCACCACCACCAGTACCACCACCACTGATGCTACCCACTGAGCCAGGCAAGTTCACCACCCGTGGTCATCGGGTACACACCAGCCAGGACACCCTGTACAAGTTCCAGCGACGGTCCATCCACCTGCTGACTGAGCTGCTCACCCTGAAGATGAAGGCCATGCTGGAGTCTGTGTCTGGTAAGGCTGGCTTGTCAGATTCTTCTCCATTTTTTCTGGGCCTGGAATGGTCTGTCTGGACCGATGTGTCTACTGCACCTACCCCAAACAGGTATATGAGGATGAACTGGGAACAGGTGGCTGCCATGGATCTGCTGTAGGAATTGAACTCCTACCATGACTACCCACAAGACTCATCCTCTCACCTCTCTCTGTTCTCCTCTTTTCCTTCCATTCCATCAACTTTGCAGAGCCAAGACTAAAGGTTGGCCGTGGAGAATTGTGCGAGGTCAGAGGTACTGATGGGTGGAGTTTTTGGAAATGACACAGAGGTGGAGAGAGAAGGCACCCAGGAGGAAGGGGCTTGTGGAGTTGCCAGTCAAGAGGGACAATTGGTGGGTAGCAGGACAGAGCCCAGTAGAGCCAGAATCAGGGAGAGTTATGAGAACTGGGATCCATCTATTGTGAGGGTGTCATCTCTAGATTAAGGCCAGGACCTAGAGCCACATCAGTAATTAAAACTTCTAAGTACTGCATTATTTTAAATACCAACAGCATTGATACCCAGGCCTATGAGTATGGAAGAGAGAAGGACAAGGCGGGGCAGAGAGTAACATGCCATTTGAGAGGTTTTGAGAGCTAGAGACCCTTCCATTAGGAGCCCCCTCACACTTTCTTATCCTAGATATGGATCTACACTCTACCCTTATTTCCCTGGCCATTTATGGAGGCCCTTTTCTGGAAACATTAGCCCATGCTGAGAGGAAAATGAGTTGCTTTGATTCCTTTATTAGGTGCCAACCCCTTGGACATCACAAGGCGCTTTGTGGAGGCCAGCCAGCTCCTCCACCTCAATGCCAAAGAGATGGCTTTTGACTCCCTGGTTGGCACATTCGGGAGAAGTACCTTTGGTGCTGGACTGTTGGGGAAAGGTGGGTACCTGAGCTTCAGCCCTTAGGTAAGAATTCAAACAATACCAACCAGAGTGCAATGGAAAGGTCAAGTCCCGTTTAAATGCTTGACTTTTCCAAGCGTTGAGGTGGATGTGGAGTAATGGAGATTCTCAAATGCTGCAGGTAAGTGTACAAATTTGTGCCATTCCTGTGGAGAGCAATTTGGTGGTATCTGTGAGGTAGGAGATGCAAAAAACAAACATGAAGGGACTCATTTTATTGTTAACATACAACCATTCAGGAAAAAAGTCAACACAGTCTTTATTTCTTATAACAATTAGCATGTGCTCCAATATCAATTAATTTTTGTTAAATAAAAGGTAAAAGAAGGTGTTTTGGGGTTTTTTTTGATAAATTTTGTTTTCCTTTTCTAAGATTAAAATCCCAAACATTTCCTCCCACACTATTTACCATGCCATGGATGTATCTTATGCCGGTTCTATTCAGGATCAGCTATGCCCTGGTAGCACAGGTCCTCTAAATTGTTCTGTAACTATTTTTACAGATAGTTACCAGCATATATGGAGTTCTGCACCTTGTGTTCCATATAGGGCTTAGAGATCAATCTCCTTTGGGGTGGACAGCTACCTGTTGGTCTGTTTGTGAATAGGGAGAGTCCCACGGGGGTGTCATGATAGCTCTGGCCCAAGCACCCACTCTCAGACCTGCCCATGGTGCTCTCCCACCTGAATATTCTGTTCCCTCACCTTGAAAAGGAAACGGTTGTCAGCAATCGCACTCCACCTCATAAAGTATTCAAGCATTCTTCCAGAGTCACAGGCTTTTACCTGTGCTGCAGTAACTTCTGGTGTCCCTCATAGGCTGTGGCTAATCTAGTGGAGGAGAATTTGCAGAAAGCTGAACCTTGGAGAGAGATCCTTTTGGTGATGTCTGTGCCCTGCTGCATTAGCAGAGCACTCGGAAAACCTCCCCATCACACTCTCCAGGAATTCTCTCTCACTTGTTGCCACATTGGTTCCAGACACACCTTTCTTTAAACCAGCCTAGAGTTTGGGGAAAATAATCAAAATGTCAAAATATGTATGAAGAAGCTGTCCATTTCTTTTGGGAAGGCATTCATCTTAGAAGGACTTGAGTTAGCTCTCCCAGGGCATTATAAAGAAGATGGAAATCAATTTATTTTGCATGAATAAGATGGTTTTCTAGACCATCTTATTATGTGAAGCAGACCAAAGCTATAACTGAGTCTAGAGTAGTATTGTTCCCTTAAAGCTGTTGCCAGGTAGTAGTAAGACTAGTTCTAGCCTTTTCTCCTGCCCTTAATACCTGCTAGTCCTGGCCTGTCATGAAAGAAAACTAGACTACTCCTTGATTTTTGGTTGATGGCAATATTATTATATAAGACATACCAAAAAAGAAAGCAAGTAATCTTGCCATCTTTGCATATGTAGCTATTTTTCTTTCATTTATTCAATTTTCTCCCTCCCTCCTTTCTTTCCCCTCTCCCTCCCTCTCTCCCTCTCTCTTTCTCCCCTGTGTGTGTATACTTTTAAAAGAATACTGCAGTGTTCTATTTCTCACTATCCTTGACTTAACAGACAAATGTTTTCCAACATGGCTCTATGCTTTTAATAATTGTTATTTTGAGTTGGTGTAGATTTCTTCTAATATGTATGTTTCATAATTAACCAAATGCTTAGGTTTCCAGGTTTTTTGTTATTAGTATTTTATGCATTGTAATATGCAACTTTATATATGTCACTTATTTCTGTTGTATTGGTGATTAAGATTGATTACCCAGGAGAGGGTTTATTGGGGCAGAGGGTCTCAATATGTGTTTAGCTCTTGCTAAATATTCCTTTTTTGATGCGTTTTCTCTACACCAGCAGGGTTGACTAGTTTTATTCCATCTTTACCAGCATTGGCTATTGTTAGTTCTTTTCTTTTTTGCTAAGTTAAAAGGTGCTGAAGGTTGTTCTGATTTCAGTTTTTGGATCACTAGTGATGGTGAGTGATTGTGCGTTGCATCCAGTGTGCAGTCTCTGGTTATTATCTCTGTCTACTTGTCAAGTCAGGTTTGCCATTTTCTTTATGGATTTGTATATACCATACCAATAAATGAAATGCTTAACATTTCCTAGCAACCAGTGAAATGGCCATATTTGGGGGGGGGGGAATAAGGAAAGGATTTGATGAGATTTATGTAAGAATGATTAAGATTTTCCAGAGTGATGGGGCTGCTAAATTCTAATTCTTAAGTGTTCAGATAATCAAATTATTCTACAGAAGACAGCATGATTCTGCAAGAGACTGATCTGATTGTTGGAGAAGCATCTGATTTCTATGTCTTGGATAAGAGAAAATAGGTGACTTTCCTTCTAGTCAGCTCATTGCTTATTTTCTCTACTTAATGCAGCAGTTATACCTGCATTTGCCCTTTAGTAACATGATGTTACCTTTTGTGTTTGATTGCTTCTCCCTGCACTAGTCATTTCACTCTTGAGAGATATTGGAAGGGGGGTACTGTAGAAAGGAACCTTAATTTCCCTTAATTACTCAGAGCCTGCTTGTTTATCAAAAGTCTTTTTATTCCAAGAGGTGGTTGTTTTGTACAATAGAGCACCAGAATATCTGGTCTATCATACTGCTAGAACAAAAAAAATCCATATTATATTTTTTGTTAAGAAAAAATAGAGTTAAAAAATTAAAAGAAGGATCCCTCTCTCTTCCACTCCAGAGCCCTTCCTGAGCACCTCAATAATGGGAGTGAACTCGCCTTATCAGCTTATCTATGAAGCCTCTACTGGTTGTCTGAGCTTTTCCCTCTCAACTGGAAAGGAAGGCAAGAAGAAAGCAGGTAACAGTGATTCCAAGCAAGACCTCTTAGCCCATCTGTGGAGTAGGGAGGAGGGGTGAGGGAGGTGGATGTAAGATTCCCTGTTTAGGTTAATAGCATAGTTTGATTTGGTTTTTTGATAGGAAGGATATACAGTTTCCCTGGCTGTTGATAGAAGCTATTGAAACAGGTTATTTCCAATAAAGATGACACATCTCAACCCAGTTACTCCAAAGTACAGTCTTATAATTTGAATGTTTACATGCCCTCCATTCCTGGTGATGTGGTTCTCTTCACCTGGGACAACACTTTTTCCAAACCCACATTTTCTATTCCCTCAGTAGCCCAACCTGAACCCCTTTGATCAGAGAGATCTGTGTTGCTCCTATTCACAAAGCAAGTGGGGGAACCAATATCTGAAGAGAGAGATTTGTATACAAAATCTAACAGTGTGTCTTAAACTGGGCCTGTTCGTGTGGGCAGAAAACACAAAGAGCACTCCTATTCTATTAAGGAAGACATACAACAGAAGGAAAGGCTTAAGGGAAAGAATGGGTGGCAGATGAGGCCAAACAGTATAGCAATGACTGTGAAGACAGAAGCTTAGAAGAGATATGAGTTGGATAAGGCAGGTTAAGGCCTCAAGGAACTTCCAGGCCTCCCCTCACCTCCCCAGGGTTTGGTTACAGAGTGGTGGAATGGGGAAGGAAGGGGAGGACTACATTCAAAAGAGGTGGTGGGAGGATCGATATAAGGTAGGAATGCTCAAAGACTGTCCAATTGATTCCAACAGACACTGGAGGTAAGGCTGGAAGTTGAGAAGTTTGGATTTTATTCCTGCCCCTGCCCCTGGCTGGCTGTGTGATTTGCCTTCCTCCAGGCCTCACCGTATCAAGCTGATCCTATATCCTTTCAGTTAGTGAACAAATGTTTATTAAACAATTGTTAGTTGTCAGTCACTGTTATAAATGCCAAGGGTACACATGTGGACTCCAAGACAAAGACTGCCTTCCTAATGGAGCTGACAATCTCAGCTTCCCTGCACAGAGTAGACTCAGCTGTCCCCTCTCATTTCCCTGTTGATGCGTCTTCTCTTACTGTGATTCAATAGCCCACATCACTTCTGGAATCCCACTTTATGTACTCTTGGTTTTATCATATCCCCTCCTGGCCCTAAATTGATACAATCACTTTAAGGCAAAACAAAGTACCCTCAAGACACACAATGATTTCATGATTTTTCTTTCTAGTGACCTCAAGTGTAATGCCTTGAGTAAGGTTGTTCCTAAGTAAAAATTAATTATGTTGGTTGGTCTCTTTGTCTCCCTCTGGTTGTTTTCCTCTGATATCCCATCAATATGCAATTTGTCTTACTCTTTCATCATTCTCACTAGGATATATGTTCAGTGATGCTGCATTTCTTATTGATTATGGAATTATTCTCATACATACATGCTAGAATGGAACCTTCCTTAATAGTTTTTTAACTTAATTTTGCTTTATTTTATTGTTGACAGTATTACAGATGCCCCCCTATTTCCCCTCTCCTCCCCTCCTCTCCTTCTCCTATCTACTCCATGCTTATGTGCTATTACACCTCACCAGCTGACCTCATTTGGAGTTATAGGGCCAGGAAGACTTGGAGCAGATAGGTTCCAGGAGTTGGACTTACTCCCAGAGGACAATAGTTCTTTCTGGAAAGTAACTCAACTATACAAGGAGAGAACTGAGATAAGTCTGTCAACAATGTTCCTTATAGGGGCAAGAGACTGCCACCCCTGAGGACCCAAGGCAACCAGGTATAGGCCAGACATGGATGCTCAGGCCAGCAGATGTTCCAGGAGTCAATCAGATAGTAATTGGTCCTCAGAGTCAAGTCTTTGGTCTCTGGTGGTAGGAAGAGTTGGGGAAGGGACCAGGAATCACACAGGGTGTCAGAAAGCAGAGATGGTACTCGGTACTAGCCAGAAACCCCAAGACTTGGCTAACAGTGAGGAAAAATCCTTCTGTGGTCCTCAGAGCTGACTTGGAGCCTGAGAAATGCCCCTGACATGAAGCCAGGTTTTATTTTTGAGATCAAGGTGAAGTTGAGCCTGCATATATCCAGGGAAAGCGTGCGGCTCCAGCTGGGTGGGCAGTAGAAACTCAGAAGCAGGCAGGACCTGAATAGATGCCTTTGGAACTTCAGTCATGGAGGATTATCTCCAAAATTTCACGTAATCATATCCTCAGACCACCTAACACTTGTCACACACAGAAAATAACTGTAAAAAAATGTAAAACAAACATAAAACATTATCATTCACAGATTTGAACAGGCAGAAGAAAGAAGCAGCAAAATTGAAGATAGGGCAATGCAAATTATTGAATCTAAAAAACAAAGATTGAAAAGAAATGAACGGAGCCTAAGGAACCCATGGGATACCATCAAGTAGCACAACATACATAATACGGGAGTCCCAGAAGGAGAAGAGAGAGACAGAGAGAGAGAGAGAGAGAGAGAGAGGAGAGAGAGAGAGAAAATATTTGAAGAAGAAATGGCTGAAAAATACCAAATTTGATGAAAGTCTTGAATATAAACACCAAAGATTCCATCTAAGAGGAACTTAGACCCAGATCAAGACACATTATAATCAAACTTTCAAAAGACAGAATCTTAAAAGCAGTAACAGAAAAGCAAATCATTACATACAAGTAATCCTCAATAAGATTATTAACAGATTTCTCATCAGAAATTTTGGAAGCCACAGGAACTAGCACTAAAAGAAAAAATAGTCAATCAAGAATTTTATATCCAGGTACATCTACACAATGGAATACTACGCTGCGGTAAAAAAGGAGTTCTTACCATTTGCAGCAGCATGGATGGAACTGGAGAGCATTATGCTAAGTGAACTAAGCCAGTCAGAGAAAGATAAATACCACATGATCTCACTCATTTATGGAATATAATGAACAACATAAACTGATGAACAAAAACAGATCCAGAGACAGAGAAGCAT